GAGAGCATTCCTCGACCACGCCCGTCCTGCGGGCCAGACACCACGGAAGCCCGCCAACGACGAGCAGCGAAGCGCAGTTATCGTCGCGCAACCACGCACCACCAAGGCACGGCCCCCCGAGGCCGCGCCGCGAAGCGCGACAACCTTCGCCCCCGCGCGCGCACAACCGCCAACCAGCCAGCCGGAGAAGCGAGGAGAGGAGACGACATGGCATCCCCACGCCGCGGTCCGCCAGCCGCGCGCGGCCCCAGCTTATTAGCACAGAGGGGACCCCCCCAATCCGCCGTGCCACAAGGGCACTGCCAGGCAGTGAGGCCGAGAGGCCAAGAGGCGGAGAGGCCACGAGCAACCTCCCTGGAGATTTTCCTGCCCCCCAAATCGCTTCGCGATTTGGGGGCGATGAAAATCTCTGCGTGCGGTCAGCACAGAAGAAGCAGGCCGGCGCCCCCCGCACCTGCGTTGGGCTGAGGAGACACACGGCGCCGCCAGGCTGGTCCCGACTGGAATACCCCAAGGGCCCACTGCATCCAGGAGGGCCGAGGCTGGCGGCAAGGAGCCGAAAGGCACCGTGAGAGCACAGGTGCGTCTCGCACGCTCTTTTTCCTGACAGCACCCACTGCATGCGAGCGTGCCTAGCCGCTCTCGCCGCCACTCGAGTCCGAGTGCTCCACCAGCCACTCCGCGGCGGCCACTTCGCCTCGGGCCTGCGCCGTAGCATACCCAAACGCAGCGAGCCCCTTCCAGCCGCCCGACCAGAACAGCGCAGACACGCCGCCGGCCCGGAGGGCATCGTTTGCGAATCCTCTGCGAAACGCGTGAGTGCCCCAGTGGAGAGCCTGCGGCAAAGCTAGCGCCACTGCACCAGCTTTTAAGAAGGCCAGCGCTTCAGAATACGAAATATGCCCAAATGGGACCGCGTGCTCCGCGCACGCCTCCTTCAAGGCACATACTCCGCATAAGATTTCTGCATCTCCAGAGCAGACGCACTTTCTCGCGACTTCAACGGGAACGCGGTAGCTCTTCCTCCGAGTGAACGTCACCGTGCACTGAGAATGACCATCGCGGCTGCTGAATTGAAAGGACGCCTTGCCTGAACCCAGAGCCAAAGTTTCCGAAGAATACCTCAAGCAAAAGTGGCGCGACACTGCCCAAGACAGGGCCAGATCACGACGCCCTGAGCGCGACGCCCACTGCATGAGCGCGCGTGTCTGCGACCCCGATGCCCAAATCTTCGGCCGTTGGAAAGCTGCACCAGCTTTTTCTGCTCCCCTCACGAGCCTCGCCGTGTCCGAGAGCTCGCCGGTTGATACCCGCAGCAGGTGGAGCACCGAACGAATGTGCGACACATATCGGCCCAGAGAGGCACTGCTGCGGAAGAGACCCGAGAAGACGCAGACCGTGGAATGCCCAGGTGGCCACGGCGCCTCTGTACTAATGGCGGCCGCCTCACCCCAGAGCTCTACTGCGCTGGCATACTGCGCGGCACTGCGGCGCCACCCACAGAATTCGAGCCAGACAGCGCGGATCTCGAACTCCATGGAGTCTGCTCCCGAAGACCGCGCTCGCTTTGCAGCAGCCCGGGGCAACACTCTGTCTTCCTCGAATGGGGAATCTGGCAACTTCGCCATGTCTCTGACAGCGCCTGCGAGCACCGTAGGCCCAAGCACCTGCCCACTGCGCCGCGCGTGCGCCAACAGTGCCAGAGCTGCCATACCTCTCTCGGCAGCACCGTCCTGAGCACCACGCCCGCGGACAAGGCCATGTGCTGGGGTGCTGCCGCTTTCAGTCTGCTCTGCAGGACGCGCAGGAGGCAGCGCTACAGAGGCCGCCCGGAGCTGATTTTGCCGCCGCTCCACCTCGCATAACTGCAGAAATCTACTGAGGAAGTCGCGCGAACACCCAGACAGAGGCCGCCAAACGAGTTGCGCCTCCTCAGGACCAATATCGCAAAAATCCTCTGCCCGCGACGCTCCGGCAGCCGCCAAACCAGAACACAATGTATCAATGGGCGCACCGGGCGGAACGACTGCGGACACTTGCCTGAGAATACGAACCAAATTACCTGAAAACGCAGCTGGCACCTCGGCCACTGCAGGATGGGCGGCTTGCGACGAGCCTGATGCAGCAGCAGCAGCAGCAGCGGCCCTGGCCCGGCTCTCATCAACGAAATTAAGCATTGAGCGGAACTTTCAAGCTTGCGCCAAACAGGCTACGGAGACAGAGCCGCGATCTTGCGCCGCAGTGCTGCTGAATGTGCACGATGTACGTACGTAAACCCATCGATCGATATGCCGCATTCCTAGAAAGAAACGCCTGAAGATCACGCTCTGCTGTTCCTTGCCAGCGCTGCAGACTGGGAGGCAGCATGGTTTCCACAGCTTCGATCCGAAAGCCAAAAATACCGCGTAGACTCCGGCCCCAGCCTCTTGGGGCTTCTCCTGGCGCAGCAGACCAGACTAAGGCGACACCAGAGGACGGTGACGTGGACGCATTTTTCCACCACGCAACCGCCGGGCCGAAAAATTAAGACTGCCAGGGGGCATCCGGCGGGACACTCCATGGCACTTCTGCGAAACCTGCTGTTTGCATCGCCTCCAGCGCTGCATATTTTTGCTGTGGCCTCGTAGGCGCATCAGCCAAATTAAGATGGCTCGGAACGTAAAAGCTGCACAGGAGCACTCCGGCCTGGGCAACGCGCAGCCAAAGATCTCCAATGAGATCGTTCCAATCGACCTGTCTGGAAGAGCCGCGCACGAGGGTGCCGAGCGCAGTCGTGTTGTCAACGAACAATAAAACTTCCAGATCGCCCAGCCTTTGGCTGAGCAGCCAGTGGAGAGCACAGATCGCAGCCATTAATTCCCAGGTCGCAACTTGATTCTTCCGATAGCGTGCCCAACGCCAAACGGCCGCGGGCACCACAGAAGCAGACCACAGACGCCGACTGGGTAGGCAGACGACCCATGCCAGACTGCCGCTCCCTGTGGCATCTGAGTAAACAATGCACCTGAGGCGTGATGGCTGCGTGCACAGAACCGTGCGGCGCGGCACACAACTGAGAAAGCGCAGCCACCAAAGGAGCGAACGCTTCACGCGCCCTGACAGCTTCGAGGACCCCCCCGATGCTTGTGCGAAAAGTGGTGCCAAATGCACCCGGGCCGCGCGGCCAAAGACAGAAGAAGCACCCCAATTCAATCTCCCGGCGAGCTTCTTCGCCTCGGCAGGGTGCAAGGCATTGCGCCTCAAGATGGCGCGGATCTGCGAATCCCACTTCGCTAGCTTGGCGGCGCCAATCTCCAAATGCAGCGCCTGGCCGGGGGAATCGATTTCCACCTCTACGCCCAAAACTGGGGCACTCTTGGAATCCGATACCCGCTTCGTGGCATCGAGTTCCCAGCCGAGTAGACCGTCCTGCGGGCCAGAGACACGCCCGTCCTGCGGGCCAGAGAGAGCATTCCTCGACCACGCCCGTCCTGCGGGCCAGACACCACGGAAGCCCGCCAACGACGAGCAGCGAAGCGCAGTTATCGTCGCGCAACCACGCACCACCAAGGCACGGCCCCCCGAGGCCGCGCCGCGAAGCGCGACAACCTTCGCCCCCGCGCGCGCACAACCGCCAACCAGCCAGCCGGAGAAGCGAGGAGAGGAGACGACATGGCATCCCCACGCCGCGGTCCGCCAGCCGCGCGCGGCCCCAGCTTATTAGCACAGAGGGGACCCCCCCAATCCGCCGAGCCACAAGGGCACTGCCAGGCAGTGAGGCCGAGAGGCCAAGAGGCGGAGAGGCCACGAGCAACCTCCCTGGAGATTTTCCTGCCCCCCAAATCGCTTCGCGATTTGGGGGCGATGAAAAGGCGACGCGGTCGCAAGTTCAGGAGCGCGCGTGCCGCGCGGCGGGCGGGGCCGCGGGCGCGCCCGCGAGGGCGAGGCGAGGGAGGCCGGAACCTGGGAGCTGGAGGCGGCGGACGATGGAGGCAAAGGAGACGGTGGCCATGACCAAGACTGAACGCGGACACGCTGGTGTCAAATCTTGGCCACCACCCCCAAATCCCATCCATCTGTGCCGCCGTCAGTTCGTGGATCTCCCTCGCGAATCGGCGGCGGCCAGCATGGACTATGACCAAGGCCAGCGTCGACAAGATTCCGCGACAGCTTGGGGTCATGGTCATCGTGCTTCGTCATCGGGACGAGGGCGCGTGAAGGGGCCCCAGGACACACAAATTAATACACACAAATAAAAGGATTCCCCATATTTTCCTTTATTTTCTGGGTTTTTGTCTTCCCCCCACTTCCCAATGTTTCCCATATTTTCTGGGAGTGGGCGGTTAATCGTGTCTGTGTGTTTTTCCCCCCTCCTGAACGAGGGGGGGGAGGAGGGGCAGGAGGACGCAGGCGGACGATAAGCTACACTACTTCAATAGGTTGAAGTCGGGCGTGTCCCCCTACGGGGGAAGTTCGGACGAAAAATAAAACATACCAAACAATAATCCAACGTTGCCCAAAATATTCAATAAACAGTTTCCAGACCATTGTTTGACTATTTTTGAATATTCCTCCTGTAGAGGGGCAGGCCCGACTTAACAGTAGGTGGCGCTGGGATACCCGATCGGACAATACAAGATAGATCGGGGCGTCGCAATGCCGGTTGGGCTGTCCAACGCGAGAAACGCACTCCCAACCTCAGGTTTCGTGCGCATGGCTGGAAGGCCCCTCTTCTTCCGCCCCGATCTGCATCTGCCCTCGTCCTCTACAGAACGTAACCCTCCTCTAAGCGGACGACGTCTTCCCCAGTGGGTTCCCAAGCGCTAGGGGAACGGGCGGTCCACTAGCATGGCAGCACCTTCTCTCGACATTTCACCACACAACCGCTTCCCGAAGACTAGAGGCGGCGTCGGTGCTTTCGCCGTAGGCGTCTTCGATGTAAAGCATGTGCTCGAACATTGCTGCTTTATGCAGCCTACTTGCGGAACCCATCGACCCCATCCCGTCGTCATGTCCCGGTCCTCGGCCAAGTCCCGCCTGTCAAGCAACTCGGACAGCACACGGTGCTTGGTGAGGAGCTCGTCCTTGTTCACCTGCACGCCAAACGCAAGATGACGGGAGCCTATGCCGGCTCGACAACAGCATGCAAGCGCACCACTGCCAGCATGACACACCACGGTCCTCCGGAGACGTGCAGGAGCTCTCCTGGGATCCCATCCCCATCCCCCAACACCTGGCATCGCTCGGACGTCCGTTCCCTGTGCTTTTCTCTCGGTTTCGTGCGTGGCTTCTTCGCCAAACGATCAAGGATGCTCCTCGATGGCCCTCGCCGAGAAAAAGTGCACATGCCAGGAACATGCAAGCGCATGCATTGCCAGCGTGTCCTGGCGCCGGCCCGGGCAGCACGCTGTGGCCTCTGCGAGCGGACGGCGCGTCGCCGCGCTCCGCGTGGCGGGAGGCGCGGGAACCACGAGACACACTGACGCCCGGGGACTGGGGGCGCGGATGGCGCGTCGATCCCCATCCCCCTCCCCCTCCTCCTCCTCCTCCTCCTCCTCCTCCTCCTCCTCCTCCTCCTCCCTCCCTCCTCCTCCTCCTCCTCCTCCTCCCCTCCTCCTCCTCCTCCTCCTCCTCCTCCTCCTCCTCCTCCTCCTCCTCCTCCGCCTTCGCCTACCCCTCTTCCTCCTCCTCCTCCTCCTCCTCCTCCTCCTCCTCCTCCTCCTCCGCGCGGAGACTTTCACGCCTGGGGACTGGGGGCGCGGATGGGCCAGAACAGGCAGAGGGACGCGCAATCGGAAGGTTCCTGGCCGTTGGGGCAAGGCGCCCACATCCCGACCAGCTCAGGGGAGAAGCGCCCCAGCTGCCTTCGCCCCGCCGAGGCCCCCCTCGATGCAAGACGAGGGCCGTGCTCACCCGCGGCGCTACAAAAACAGAAAAAACACCAGGAAGCCCATAAGAGGCACCCGCGAGGCCCCCAAGGAGCACCTCAAGACGGCAAAGTCGATGAGTTTCTTTGAATGCTTCTCTGTTTTTCGTCGCCATCGCCGTCGTCGTCGCCGTCGTCGTCATCGTCATCGTCACCCTTCAGGGTCGGCGGCACCGGCCAGACGACCTTAGCAACTGCAGCTGCACGATCGGCCGCGTCCATTTTTACCGCTGCCAACATGCGGCAAACGCACGCCCGTGTTGGCGGGCATGCTGCGTGGCCCGTCTTGGGAGCCTCGGGAGCCCAACGGGACTGGTGCGATCCCGCCTTGCCCCCGTGATCCTGCTCCTCGCCCATCTCCACAGCCCTCTCGCTGCATCCCCCCACCTCAGCCTCCTCCTCCCCTCCTTCTCCCCTCTGCCACATCTCGACGAACACACACACACACACACACACACACACACACACACACGCACACACACACGCACACACACACACACACACACACACACACACTGGTATAAACATCAGCTTTGGGAAGTCCGCGATGCTCTCTCGGGCCGGCGCTGGGCCCCCCTCCCTGGAGCGCGGAGGCGACGGAGGCGCCGCCAGTGGTGGCCAGCGCCGCTCCGAGACGTCCGCGCGGAGCCCTGAAAGCGTATGTTGGTGCAGCCGATTCTCCTTCGATGATCCCCCCCCCCACCTCCCCCTCTCCTCCTCCTCCCCCCCCTCCTCCCCCCCCCCCCTCCCTCCTCCTCCTCCCTCCCTCTCCTCCTCCTCCTCCTCCTCCCCTCCTCCTCTCCTCCTCCTCCTCCTCCTCTCCTCCCTCCTCCTCCTCCTCCTCCTCCTCCTCCTCCTCTCATCATCATCATCATCATCATCATCATCATCATCATCATCATCATCATCATCATCATCATCATCATCATCATCATCATCATCATCATCATCATCATCATCCCCACCGCACCCTTCTCCTCCTCCTCCTCCTCCTCCTCCTCTTCCTCCTCTGACCGAAACCTCCTCAGTCTCATCACGTCCTTCTCCCGCTCTTCCCCGCACCGTGGGCACCTCCGTCGGATGCGCCGTGAAGACGATCTCCACCTGAGGCGCACGCCGCTCCCCGACAGGGCGGAGCGCACGAGCACGGGACTGCATATGCGAGGGAGCCCCCCGCGGCAGGCTCGTGCCGGGCCGACTTCGGCGTCGGTCTCGGACACTGCGGGGACCGTGCAAGCTTCCACGATCGGCCTTCTCCCGAACGCCAGATCGCCCAGACTCGACCGATCTGGGTCGCTGGCTGCGTTCAGCGCTGAATCGGCGGCGGCAGGGTCGCCGCTGGTCGACGCGACGCGAACCCACCGTAAACCAACGCTCTTCTGATCAAGCAGATGTCATGACACATGCAGCACCGACCCGTCGCTGAACGACGTAGCACGTGTGGCCGGCGGTTGTACCCAGCTGGAGCTCCAATGTAGGAGCCCAAGGCGCAGAACTTCTTGTCGGACGCGCGACGCCAATACGGACGGCACGCGGTGCCCAACGTTCGTGCCCGAGGCAAATTGCTGCACATGGTGCGGTTTCTCAAAAGGGGATCTGACAATTTGTGATGTTGTATGCTCGGGGAGCCTTGTCTGTCCCATCGCGGCGCTAAGCGCGTCAAATCCATGCCAGACACATCGAATCCGCGTCGAATCCATTTCGAATCCGCGTCGAATACACGTCGAATCCGGGCGGAACCAAGGTCGGATACAAGAGAAGAGGTCATTTACAGGACAAGCAAAGTCTCCCGAAGTCGGAGGCAGCCGGAGAGTCTGAATTGGCTGGGACCCTGGAACATCTATCAGGAGGGGGGGCATGAGGCCACGTCCGCTCAAAATCGACCCCCAGACCCTTCCCAAGGTCGATCTGAAGCCTTTCACCCCAGATCCGTTTTTAACGGTTCCAGGACCCGAAAACGGCCCTCCGAGGCTGAAATACTCAAAACTGATAACGGAGAAAGACCCCAATCAGAGTCTTACTTGATCTTACATGAGATCCCTTTGCAAGTGCTCCTTAGCTTATGCAGTCTGCGAGGGATATGAAGGCCATGAGGGCTATGATGTGCTATAGGGCTATAGGGCTATGGGGCTATGGGGCTGTAGGGCCATAGAGCTGTAGGGCTATAGGGATATATGGAAAGAGCTGTTCCGAACCCAGAACCTCGAACCTGTCCCTGTCCCTGCTCGCCGGAACCAGTGCTGGGCCACCTCAGACGCGCAGCCGGCTCGAACCCGACGAGGCAACGTGAGGTTTGAGCACTTTTTGGCCCGCAGCAGCCGCCAGGCGAGCCCTGGAGCGAGAGGGGGCTTCGCCACACGGGCGCGCAAGGCTGGCGCTCATCCAGGTGGTTGGCGTTCGGCGGGGCCCTCCTGCTGCTTGATGAGCGCGTCGTAGATCTGTCCCATGGATCCGCCGTCCTCGCCCACGGGGCGGCGGCCACTCCAGGGGGCTCTCAGCTGGGCTCTGAGCTGATGGGGTCGGAGAATGGCGCGCCGATGCATCGGCGACGGCGGCGACTCATCGGCGAAGTCGGTGTGGAGAAGGTTCCACATCGACCAGCATCGCCGATGCATCGTCGATGCGGAGCCATCCTTCGACCCCATCTACTCGGACCCCATCTGGGAGGCCTAAACGCCCTCCAGGGGGATGATATGATGATGGCGACGATGCGCACGAGTACGAGGAGGACCACGAGAACAATGGCGGGCGACGACGTAGGAGGAGGGCGACAGAAGGATTGCGAGCAAGGAGGACGAAGACGACGACAAGGGAGGGAGAGGGGGGGGGGGGCACAGAGAACCTCCCCAGAGCCCAAGCCGTCTGGGCCGCACTGCGCGGAAGCCCTGTTAGGCACAGGGAGCGTGCGTAGATGCAGGCTGGAGGACGAAGAGGGGGGAGGGGGAGGAGAAGAGGGGTGAGACCGAGGAGGACAATCAAGACACTACTGAGGAAAGAGAGAGGGCGTCCCGCCAACCTAGGTGCGCAAGCGTCTTATCTGACGTCCTACCCCTTCCTCCAATCCCTCACAATGGCGTAGATATCCTCTCTATCCGTACAGTCGGACGTCGAGCAGGGCAATGATCCCGAGAGAGTGCGAGACGCATGGTAGTGCACGGCGCACCACGGCGTAAACGAGCACGACAGACCGTCGTCGGGTCGAGAACACGACTCCTGTTCGACAACAACTCCTGAAGGAAAATCAAACATGACGCAAAACGGGAAATGAAAATAGACGGTGTGGCCACACCGGAATTGCAATATGAGAGCCAACGCTGGACGAGACAACTACTTATTGGGACAACAGGTTCTGAGGGACACCAGACATGACGCAAGACAACCAATGTGAAGGAATGGTTCGTAAAGAGCGGAAGCGTAACATGAGAGCCGACGCTGTCGCAGGAACACGAGGTGGAATATCCGCAACAAAGAGTTGAGGTCAGTGATGCAGCGGGAGGTTGATTTGAAAGGACCGAGAGCCAGAAAATGGAGCCAACGCTGTAGCGGGAGCGCCATTCTGGAAACACCGAAGACGTTCGGAGTCGACCAACACACGTGTACTCGACCACCTTGGAGGATCCTATGCGTAACGACATACGCGGAGGGGGGCAGGACACGACCTCGGGGTCGTCGGGGGAGAGAGGATAATTATAGTATTTAGATTGTGTAAGTATTAAGTTCTCGCGCACGACTGTTCAGAATCATGTACTGGGAAACCTTCAGAAGAACAATCATGAACCAATGAGCCCAGCTAAGACGCCGTTGAGCCGGATTAGGCCAGATTAAGCCAAAGATAAGGCCGAATTGCGCGGGGTCAACCTGAGATAAACGAGGCCATGACGGATTTGGCTGGTTTTGGACCACGGTTCTACCAGCGCCGCCGCTGAATTCAATCTCCCAGGAGTTGCACCCCAACGTTTGAGACACTGCGTAGGTGGCGACATCCGAATCCTACCCCCACCAACCATCGATTCTCCTAAACCGATGGGAGGCAGGGGGTATGGTTCGGACTTCACAGCCTGTTCGACGAATTCGGAACCCGAGTCCCACAGCCCATCGAGTGCTACAAGCCTCGAACTGGCCCCCATTTCTAAGGTCGGCAAGCCCAAGGCGATGGGGAGTGCTCTCAGAAACCGAGGACACCCTCAAGCGTGGCACCGCGCTGCCAAACACAAGGATAGGGATAGGTTTCAAGCTGGTAAGAGCTGCCCGAATCGTTGACCGGCGAGCCCGGGAACCCCGCGCACTCCGAAAGCCCCGCAGCGGCTGCCCTCGTTGGCCGCCGCCCTGTCACGGGGTCGCAGCGCGGCGGCTCACGGGCGAGACCCTGCCGTGAGGACCAGTTGACCTCGCCTCGTGCTCAGTCCCTGCCAGCGGGCGGGTGGGCAGTTGATTTTTTCACGGCGCGACCCTGTAGAGAAGAAGGAGGCACGGTGAAGGCACGAGCGCCAGACAAACAGGCCACGAACGTGAGCAAGTACAGCGAACAATCGGCGATACAGTGAACCAGGGCGAGCAGCTGCAATCTAACGTGAAGGCGAGCATGAGGATTAGGTGCCCACGGAGCGGCGCCCACCACAAGAGGGAAGTGAGGCGTAGTTACGGGGTTGCAGTCCCATGTGCAACCTGCTGCAAAACAGGAAAATACCTCAGACGCATCTAGCCTTTCTGTGGCCTTGTGCTGCAACGAACGCAACGGCCGTGCTGTCTGTAGATGAATCCACCCTGAATCTATCTACAGACGTAATGGCACCCAATGTGTTTGTAGACGCTCGTGGTAGAGCGTAAGAACGATAATTGGACTAGGCCCGAGATTTCCTTTCAGAAGCGGGTACACTGGACCCTTCAAGTACGGGGGAAAGGTGCAAGCGTTTCGAACGAGGGAGGCAAAGGGGTAGGAAGCGAAGCCCGAACCGCACGCGGCAATGCATCCTAGAGAGGTCACCAAATCAAACCTCGCTCGAGAAGCACCGTGAAACAATACCTCAGAACCTGGACGTAGACCGGGAGCATGTACATGAGAGAACCCTGCCCCTGGTTTCGACCGAATGACCGACCAAGCCACGCCGTCTGCACGACACAGATGCTCGTCCTGGGGATCATCCTGGAACCACTCGCCCCACTCATGCCTCGATGCTGCGTCGAACGTCCGTCAGATCGAGTCGCACTCGAGTCGAACTTGAGTCTAACTAGAATCGAACTAGCCAGAGTCGAGCGGGAGTCGAGCGGGTGTGCCAGGTGCCCCCAGGAAGCTCCCCCAAACGAACCGCTGAGACTGCCTGGTGGCATTCGGGCCATGCCTCGGCCTTCCGTTCGGGACGACCTGGTCACCCCCGGAACGCCATCGGCGAGGCGCAGCTGCCAGAAGGCATCGCGAGGCTGGGAAACCGCCGAGAAAGAAAGACAAAAACGCTCGAAGACCTCCAGCCTCGAACCCGAGGCTTCCCCAGAAGAGCATCTGACATGACTGGCTCTGGACTGCAGGCGCCTGGCAGCAAGCACGGAGCGAACGAGGGAAGATTTGATCAGGGGCCGACCGTCCTGGCATTCCAATAGGCCAACCAGGACATGTTCTTCGAACCCAAAACATAAACCCGATGTTCGAAAACAAGACAATCCCTGCCAGAAATGTTCGAAAAACATTTCGTAGAGACGACAAGTGGTTCTTAGAACATTGTTTGGTTGGCCTATAGGCACGCCGCGACGCTTCGCCACTGCTTGAAAGATGCGCGAAACTCCTCGGCCACGATCGCCTGGATCGTCCCGACGCACGAATCGACCTCCCCACTGCACGGCGGCTGCCGCTCGTGGGAGTCCGAAGAGGGGGGGCGCCCAGGAGGCGGGGTCGCAGAGCAGCGCGTGCGCGGACGAATGGGGGGCTGCCGGGGGACGTGCTGAGAGGAGCAGGCCCATGAAATCCGTCGGGGATCTGCTGGCCCCGGCCGGTCCAACCTCGGGTCAATCGGGCCTTGCAGAGTCCTGCAAGATCCTGCGCCCAAGCCCGGGCCAATGCGGCCCTGCCCTGCAGGATCCTGCAAGCTCGAGCGCTCAGGCTGAGACCCGTTTGCATGGACCCACGTCTCAAGGCTCACGAATCCGCGGAGGCATCGTGGCCCTGGCCACGAGATCCCCCCCCAGTCATCGCCCCCCTCTCGAACAAATCTGGTGTTCGTGAGCGGGGGGGCAGTGAACAGGGAGGGGGAAGAGAAACGCGTGCCTTTCGGCAACTTCTGGGCCCGCGACGGCAATGAAAGTCTATGGGGGCCGTCTCGGGCCCGTTTCGGGTCGCTCTCCTGCAGGCCTCGACTCCCCACGCTCGGTTGCCATCCGCCCGGGGGGACGGGGGGCCCTGGACACTGTGGCCGCTTTTCGGGACCAACTCTTGGGACGCACAAGGACCTGCTAACACGATGGGTCCTTTCACGGAGGCGTGCGTCCGACCCGCACGGATGGTAGATCCATGGTGCAGTAGATCGTCTCCCGAGGGGGATAGTCCGAACGCGCCCGCCACGGAGCTCATGCAAACGAGTCCTCGGCGCACGCGCCGCCCCCCGGGAGGAGCGACGCGCACGTAGTCATAGCACGTTGGACGACGCCGAGTTTCTCGGGACCAGCTCTGGCTATTCATCCTGGGCCGTTCTTTGGGCCCTGGTGTGTGGGAGGGCCCCGAGAGGTCGAGGACGGGGAAGAAGCACGCCGCCCATCTCTCAGGCTCAGCCTTCTTTCATGGTGACGAAGGGAGAAAGAGAGGACCAAGACCAATACCAAGAAAGGCTGGAGACGATTCCAGTGGCTAAGCAAGACCAGTCTCGAATGCCTCAGGACATGCCGGGGTGAGGAGACCCCACGAGAGGCAGAAGCCTCGCACATCCAAACTAGGAGCGTCTGGGGCCCCCGCTGGGGGTACTCACGCCCTCTGGCCGAGAGGAGGAAGAGGAAGAGGAGGAGGAGGAGGAGGAGGAGGAGGAGGAGGAGGAGAAGAGGTTGCGCTGGCGGGGCCAGGGGGCGCAGTGTGACTAGCAGCCAACGGCCTCGCGCTGAGGGGCGCGATAAAAAAAAGAGGCGACGGGCACCTCCCAAGAGGGGGGGAGAAGAAACCAGAAAGGGGACTGAGTGCCTCCGCGGGAAAAAAAGGTGCCCACCCCACTGAGGGAAAAGCGCCCCGAGGGTACTTATGACCCAGGGACAAGCAGATGAGACGAGACAGCTGGGGGGAACGAGCCTCGCTGCCTACCGCCAGGTTTTCATGCCGCACCCGCCACACAGGGCTCAAATAACGACGCCCCCAGTGCCGCCCCAAGCCAGCCTGGGGGCGCCTCTCCCCCGCCCCCACGCACGCACCGGGCGGGGAACCCGGGCCGTGGGAAGAACGGGTGGGGATCCCCCGATAAGCCGCCCGCAGGAGACCCGCGTCCCCGCCCGAGCCCTGGCGGGGTACCAGGTGGGCCACCGCAAGGGGGGCGCAACGTGGTGACGGGAGTGCAATGTTCTCCCCCCCTGGTCCACTACGGGCAAACAGGGGTGACAATCGGGCTGCAAGCCGATTGTTTTTTCTGGGACCCGGTGGCACAGGTGCCAAGAGGAGGAGGAGGAGGAGGAGGAGGAGGAGGAGGAGGAGGAGGAGGAGGAGGAAGAGGAGGAAAAGGATGAGGAAAAGGAGGATGAGGAGGAGGAGGAAGAGAAAGAGGAGGAAAAGGAGGGGGAGAAGGATGAGGAGGAGGGAAGAGGAGGAGGAGGAGGAAAGAGGAGGAGGAGGAGGAAAAGGAGGAGGAGGAGGAGGACATAGGAGGAGGATGAGGAGGGTTGAGCAAAGGCCATGTACTGGAAGTCTATCCCCCGCACTCGCCCCCGGCGCCGCGCCCCGCCCGCGAGGCCGCCCTCGGGGGGGGGGGACCTCAGGGCGCCACCGCGCGTAATCACGAGAACATGACCACCCGCGACTGCAACATCTTCCACCAGCGGGTGAACATCACCGCCATTGCAGCGGGGGGCTGCCCAACGTCGGGGCGGCCCTGCATCCACAGTATATGAGCCTACACAACAGAACTCTATGGCACTGCAGTTGCACGCCGTCTCGCCCGTCAACGGCGCCGCAATGCATGCGGGGCGTGGGTACGGTCTGGCAAGTACGATGAACAAGTGCGCCAGGAAGGACGATTCTACAACGGCGGCCTGCACTGAGGTGAAGCCCTCACTCAGGCCCCAGTGGCAGAAGACAGGGGGCCCTGACAACAGCTTCAACGCCTCCTGCGCCTACAAAGGTCAAACACATCGTCATAAAATTACCTGCACAAGACCTGTACGCCTTCCAACACGGCACTGGCAACGACCGCGAGCACGACACGTGCGACCAGTACGGCCAGGCATGCAGCCACAAAGGGGGCGCATACTACTACGATATTGCATCGCCTTTTAAATTGTTATACTGGAACCAACCTGCTTAGCTTCGAGGGCCACCAGCAGAGCTACGACGGCAAGAAGCAAAACTTCGAGAACCACTGGGCGAGGAAAAGAGAAACCGACCCTCTCTAGTTCCATCTCCGTCAGGTTCTTCCTCCTCCTCCCTATTGCGGCAACTTGAGAGTGCAGTGTTACGGCCTGGCAGCCGACGACTCCGACTTGGACCGCGGGAAGGCGAAGGAGGCAGACGAGGAGGAGACCAAGAAGGCAGACGAGGAAGAGGACTGTGAGGAGCACGGCCTGAATGCAGAGCCAGACGCCTCCGCGACGGTCGCGCTGGCGCGCGAGGACCTCGCCGGGCGCCGTGCCATCGCAAGCCGCGCCTGCTGGCCACGAGGGCCCCTGGCGGAGCTACCAGGACCACCTGCCGACCTACGAGAGCCTCCGGCAGAGCTGCGAGAGAAGCGGGCTGAGCTACCAGGGCCACGTGCGGAACTAAGAGGGCCACAAGCAGGGCTACGAGGAACGCCGGCCCGAGCTACGAGGGCCACAGGCCGAGCTCCGAGGGCCACAGGCCGAGCTACGCGGGCCACAGCCTGAGCTACGCGGGCCAGTGCGGAGCCACGAGGGCCTCCCGCAGAACTACCGGGGCGACGAGGTGAGCTGCAGGGGCCAGAGGCGGAGCTTCGAGAGCCAGCATCTCAGCTGCGAGGGCCGCGAGCTGAGCCTGCGAGGGCAAGTGACAGCGCCACGAGTGCCGCCAACTGAGCCACGAGGGCCACCAGCTGAGGTGGCAGGGCCACCAGCTGAGCTACAAGAGCCACCAGCAGAGCTACGAGGTCAACCTCAGGAGCTGCGAGGACCGCAGGCCGAACTACGAGGGCCACAAGCAGGGCAAGGAGGACCACCTGCTGAGCTACAAGCGCCACCAGCGGAGCTACGAGGACAGCCAGCTGAACTGTGAGGGTCACGAGCAAGCCTTCGAGAGCCACCGGCCCCAGCCACGAGGGCCAACTGCTGAGCTGCGGGAGCCACAACCTGAGCTAATGGAGCCTCCTGCAGCGCTACCGGGGGGGACGAGCTGCACTGCAAGAGCCAGGAGCAGAACTTTGGGAGCCTCCGGCTGAGCTACGAGGGCCACCTGCTGAGCTGCAAGGGCCACAGCCTCAGCTACGCGGAGCCGCCCGGGCGACGAGCTCGTCTGCTAGGGCCCAGAGGGCCACGAGCAGACCTTCGAGGGCCACCAGCTCAGCTACAAAGACCGCCTGCTGAGCTCCCTGGGCAGCAAGCTCAGCTACGACGCTCGCGAGCAGAGCCACTGGCAGAGCTCCCAGGACCACCGGAGGAACGACGAGGGCAACCGCCTGAGCTACGAGAACCACCAGCAGAACTAGCCCGGCCACAAGGCCAAGCCCGAGTACCTAAACACGCAGGACTGCGACGAGGAGTGCCAGCCCGAATTATTTGGTTTCAACGCCAGGAGGCCCCACAACGGATTCGAGAGTACCTTGGGCGCGTGGCATACCACTGCGAAGCGCTGAACATTCGGATCGGGATAAGTGGCTGTCAGCGTCAAGAAAACCAACCTCGAGCCCATCGACAAAGACCCCAAGAATCGGCCCGCTAGCATGTGCCAAGAGGCCGATCGAACCTATTAAATTCACGCCCTGATGCAATCTGACAATATGTTCGAGCGCTTATACGAACGCGCAGCCTCTGAAGGTCAGCCAAGGATGGACACATTTTTCCTCGACGTGTTCCAGGACGAAAACCTGTTCGACGTAGTCTACAGCCGGATGGCGCGATAGTTGCGGTGAGTTCGGCCGACCAAATGCCGCTGATCATGCTGCTGCAACTTACGATTCCTTTGTTGATTCCGATCGCTCTTGACCTACGGCGCTACGGAAAAGGGCATTCTGCGACGTCTGCAACACGTACACTGTGTTGAGACCATGCACGTGCCCTTTGTCAACAGCTTTACCGGCAAGGTGCGCCACGCACAATGCTACAGGCCAGGGGCTTCGCCGACAACGCTACAGACAACATGCCCCGTGCACGCTGTTACCGGCAGGGCACTGCGCCGACGGTAAGTACATCTGCTACGGCTGAACGGCCCCGCCGCTCTGCCACCGCCCTTCCCCCCCCCCCTTGCGGGGGCAAGACTTCTATCCGCACCCAGTGCGTCCTGGACTTTCTCGGGGGGAGCGCCGCAAGGCCGAGGCGCACTGGCTAGACATAACCCAATCGGGCCTCTGGGGGCCATGATGTTCGTTTCCCTCGTCAGTGCGCCTGGGGTTTCTGGGGGCGAGAGCCCGAGACTCCAGGCTGCAGCGGATATGGACACGGGCCCTGCCCGCACCCCTCCCTCGGTGGGCTCAGG